ATGAAAATCAATGGCAATACATTAACAGTGACAATGGGCACATAATGTTGTTTACACACTTAATACATGCATATTTCAATTATATTGTTATTCACGCATCATTTCTCACACCTTTCTTGATATGCACCAACTTTCTACAGTAATAGATAAATATACTGCAGGCACTTGTGCACTTAAATATTTCCGACATTATTAAATGCAAACGAAACGGGTTCGGTACAAAAATGAAGCAGATCATATCACTGTTATGTAACTTTCTTTGATGCCGTGAAGGAAATATACACACCTACCTGCTAATAATGAAACAACCTGTTATACGGGGTGTTTCCAAATAGGCACCTTCACGGACGTCACTGGAAATCTTGTGTTTTCTTTTTGAACATAATATATTCATGGAAATTTTGTCAGTATGACGGCCAGTTGCGACTTCACATGATGAAGGCCATGGACAAGGATTAACACGAATTAATCACCAGGGGTGAATCAGACCTGACGCAGCAGTATTCCATGTCTAACAATGGCTCAAAAATAATACTTTTCGTTCAACTTATTTCGGTATTATTTTTGCTGTTACGATAGTGATACTAAGCATGAGCTGAGAATAACAAATAATACAATTCATCCAAATCAAAAAGTAAAAATTGACGAATGTCAGTAAGAAAGCCTGGATGTGTGAACTCCGTTGAGTGCTTGTACTTCAGAAATAAAGTGGTACTCCGAAAATAGACAAGGGACATAGTAGTCTCAAGATAGCCCAATTACCCGTTGAATTATATTTATACTTCCCGACACTCAATCCGGTTTCAGAAAAAATTATAGCACAACATCTGCCCTACTTAATCTGCAAGACAATATTTTAAGTGCCTTAGATAAGAAAGTGGCACTAGCCTTAATCTCTATAGACTATTCGAAAGCCTTTGACAGCATCGATCATAAATTAATACTTGCTAAATTAAATTACATAGGTCTTGACAGTGTATCCCTTTCATTTTTCGACAGTTACCTTCATCAAAGAACTCACTGTGTTTTTCTCAATCAAGAAATGTCTCAAGTGACAATAATTCCCTCAGGCGTACCTCAGGGCTCTGTATTGGGGCCGCTGTACCTCATATATACGTTCGACTTAAGCAAAAGCATTGATAATGCTCATGTCCAGTCATTTGCTGTCGATACGCAATTGCTCCATTATTTTAACCCAGATAATGTCAATCTCACTACTCAAATTTTACAAAACGATGTTAAATTAATTAAATACTCTTTAGATCACAATCTACTTATTAATCCACAAAAATGTAAAATGTTATTATTTTGCGCAGAAAGAAAAATATACGTATACAATGTAACACAGCTCTTGAACATTCAGATAGATAGATAGATAGATAGATAGTCTTTATTGTCTTTTGGTCATAAATAGCTATGACGTAAGACTTGTCAACATTACATATACAATACATAAGTATGCGATATGCAAAAAAAGAACAGGTAGTTAATTAAAACGGTAATTGAGATAATAAATAATAAACAAATAAATCAATAAAATAGGAGTCATTACAAACACAAACAAATTCTCAATGACATCTAACGAACATGAAAAAAAAATCTATTTTAAATAAATAAAAACAATTGAGCGCTTAAAATGTCTAGAAGAGGATCAATAAATAGACTGTTTCTTTTCCGTTAAGCTTAATAAATAAATAAAAAGAATAAATAAATAAAATTAAGCAGTTAGGTATTCGTCGACGGTGTAGTAACACTTTTCTGATAGATATCTTCTCAGACGTTTCTTTAATGTCAACATATTAGTGCTTCTGCGGAACTCAATTGGTAGTTTATTGTAAATTTTTGTACAGGCATAGAGTGGTGATTTCTGAAACTGGGCTGTTGCGTGGACTGGTATACTTAAGTCAGAACCTATTCTGGTGTTGTAGTGCCTGTTAACTGTGTTATTTTGAATAAAACTGATCCTATGTTTAAATGCGAAGAGAGCGCATTTATATATATAGATGGATATTAATGTTAGCAGATTATATGTTCTGAAAATATCTTTACAAGAGTCTCTTTTGTTGATATTGAAAATCAGCCTGAGTACTCTTTTCTGCAAGATGAAGACTCTGTTGTTCATGACTGCTTGTCCCCATAGTATTATATTATTGCTAAGATGCGGGTAAGCCAAGGCGTAGTAGATATCTATAAGAGCTGTTTGGGAGATGTTTTGTTTGAGTTTCAAGATTGCAAAGTATGCACTATTGAGTTTCTTAATGACATGATTCACATGTGACTGCCAGCCCAACTTCCCATCAATATGAGTTCCTAAGAATTCGGTTCCGTCTGAGAAGATATCGTTGTACAACCGTGGTTTGCTATTGTAGAAATGCACATACATTGTTTTATCAGCGTTTAGTATAAGGCGGTTTGATACACACCAGTCGTTCATTTCTGTTTCAACTCGTTATCAATTGCTTGGAGCAGGTCAACTGGTGTTGCTGCACTAACTACTACTGACGTATCATCAGCGTAGTTGACCATATGGCCAGATAGTTTTAGGTCGTTCATAAACAAAATGAACAGGAGTGGCGCTAGTACCGAGCCCTGGGCTGCACCAATGCTTATGTCATACACCCCCGACGAAAAACCATTCACTCTTGTTTTAAGCTGTCTGTTTGATAGAAAAGAAACAAGCCAGCGTAAAAGAAAGTCCCTAATACCGAGATTATACAGCTTCTGCTCGACGAAGTTTATGTCTATTATATCAAATGCCTTCGAAAGATCGAAAAACAAGCCTGCAACATATTTATTAGAATCAATATCCTCGTAAACTTTGTTATAAAAGTCAAATGACGCTGTTTCTATGGATCTCGAAGACCGGAAGCCATGTTGACTGTCTGATATGGTGTTATACTTATTTAAAAAGCTAACGATTCATCTAAGCAGGCACTTTTCTATAATTTTCGATATAATAGATAACAGAGATATAGGTCTGTAGTTCTCCATATCAGTCGGATCTCCTTTCTTAAATATAGGAATTACAATGGCAAGTTTGAGACACTTTGGAAATTTACCTTTCAGCACTGACTTATTTATAAGCTGTGAAAGTGGAGTTGATATCTCACATTTTATAGTTTTCACCACTCGCGTTGATATGTCATCACTGCCGCAGGATTTTTTATTTGGAAGGTAGATAAATAACCAAATTTTGCAATTTTCTGATTCTGCAAAAATTCTTGGTGTTGTTTTTGATTCAAAATTAAGGTTAATTGAACATGTTAAAAGTCTATCTCAGAAAACCTACCTACGGCTGCGCACTCTTATAGCAAACAGGTATTTACTAAATTTTAAGTTGCGTAAAAAACTATGTGAAGCTTTGGTCATATCTATACTAAATTATTGTAATATCGTATACTATACTTGTTTAGACAATTTCACTAAAAACGTTATTCAAGTTATTCAAAACAATTGCATACGATTCATTTTTAGCTTACGTAAATTTGATCATGTATCAGCGAAATATCCCGTTCTAAACTGGTTTAAAATTAATGACATGGTCAAGTATCACTATTCAGTTTTTGTTCACAAATTGCTGCTCACGTCTAAACCTTATTACTTGAAGGAAAAAAATTCATTTAATAATGATGTTCACTGTAGAACTCTCAGAGAAAATAATATTAGAATACCCCTGCATACGTCTACACTTTTTAAACGCAGTTTTTCTTACAATGCTGCTATTATTTATAATGACCTTCCTAAAGTATATAAAGAATTTTCATTACATGTCTTTCGACAAAAAGTTAAAACATTATTACTCAACTCTCCAAACATATAATTTACGTAATCATTCATTTCTTTTTTATTCCATCTTTAATTCACATTAATAATTTTTTGGTGCATTTGGCTTTGGAAAGTATGCCTTTTTCTCTTTTTTTAAATTTTACTTTCGATGTAATGAACCAAATCTGTTTGTGGATAGTGTATTCTTTTGAACATCTGCTAGAGACTATACGGTTAAGTGTAAGAGTAGCAGCATGCTAAACTTCGCCATATAAGTCTGACATTTGGCTATACTACAATGTAATTGTGGATAAATAAAGACGTCTATTATTATTATTAATTCTTCCAAGGCATGGAATAAATCATCCCTCAAAATCTGGGGGTACTTCTACTTAAAAATTTAAATTGCTGTGGATAGATCTTACGCTATATGACATAAAATCGTTTGCGTTTAATTTTCATTTAGTGTAGATCCAGCTTTTGTAGGGCTGAGAAGCCCTAAAACAAAAATAGGCAAAGCATGCACTCGAAAATCAATTTGTTTTCCCATATTTTTATACTAACACTGGTACAGTATCCATTAAATATGAGTACCGACAGTTATTTGTTTGGAGATTCAAGATATTATATCCCAAAGCAGCTAGCCAAATTACTAGATAACAAGCATTATGGCTTTGAAATATTGATTACGCAATCGCTTGCCATTGGAAACAGTCTAGCATGATAATTCATAAATATTTATGGCAGTACGGAACTAAGATGTAGGGAAAGCATAACGCGGCATGAAATTAGAAATGAGAAGTTGTATTTAGTGTCACTGCAAAATGTTATTCGTACAATCCTACATAACGCCTATCAAAGAGTTAACACTTAACGTGCTAACAGTTAAGACATACCTATTTCTACTACAATTACACAAATAAAAATAATGCAAATAGAATACTAACCTTATAAAATTGATATAAAGATCACGATGGGATGAGATGCACATTTTCAATGCAAAGACTACTTATGTAAAGGAAATTCGGCTAATTGCTTGATATGCAAAGGTTGAATTTTACATGTTGCGGCGCGTAGTCACTTGGCACATTTTCGTCCTCGGCATTTATCATGGACTGTACAAATTTCTAGGACATGTACTGATACGTGAGATAGAGTATGTTGCGGAAAAAATTGTCGCAAAGTATGAAAACGACCTTTAGGTGTAAAAACTGATCAGTTTGTCTAATTTCCAGCGTGGATGACATAGCCCTAAAAGACGTCCCGGCGATGTTACAGCTGGTTACATACCATGCAGGCCACAGAGGCAAAATCATCTATATAGGACACTCACTGGGCACAACGGCTGGCATTATATTTGCCTCGGAGTACCCAAATACTGCCGCAAACACCATTGGCCTTTTTGTATTGCTCACACCAGCCTATAAGTTGCAAAACATGAGGTCGCCTTATAGGTTTATATTTCCTCTTCTGTATCCGGCACTCGTAAGTATTGTCTATGATCTTAATCAAAATGTCCATTGTAGTTAGAATATAAGAAAATTATAAAAATCGGCAAGGCACTACATTACATAGCAGACAAACGATATACAGGGTGACTTGTAATGTCACGTATTCCTGTTAAGGGGTGATAGATTAGGTCAAGAGCAACCGATTTTGTCCTACAATGTCCTATCCAGAAGTTTTTGATTTATTTGAATTTTATTTTTTTTATTTTTTATTCCGATTTCAGACGGTTAAATTTGAAATACAAAAAAAACTAAATATTTGATTTTGAGTTTTTTGTTATCGTCGCATAGCAGACATTCCAATTGTTCATAATAAGTAATAAAATGTTGAAAACTTACAAAAGTTTTAAAAAATCCGTTTTTGAAATGTATGATTTTCTTTTTTTACTAAATTATTCGATAAAAAATGCAACTTTCTGTAAAAAATCTCCTAGTAATGAAATGTGCAAATTATGTAAATAATATCTATATCTAACAAGCTATCATTTGAGGTATACAAGTTACAACTAACTCAAGTACAAATACATAAAATTAAAAAAAGATGAGTCAAGTTGTACGAACGATAATTACGTAGAATAAATAAAAGGCTTTTATTTTAATTACAGTTGTATCTAATTGCATTTCCTTTAGTATTTTACAGATTCTGCTCAAATTGTGATCCCCTGTTACGAATAAACGCCCGCATTCTCTTACGGAATTCACTTTTGGTAACTCTAGTTGTTAAGCTGCTTTTTATTTGGTCAGCTGCACTGATTATCCTTGTAATTAATTCATCGCGCGTTGGTATGGGCGAAACATCGTACACCAGGCTTTTCATATGTTCCCACACATAGTAATCCATCGGCGTGAGATCTGGGCTTCTTGCTGGTCAGGCAATGGGCCCGCCTCTGCTAATCCATTGATTTGGAAATTTAGAGTCTAAAGACGCCCGTACTAATCTACTGTAGTGTGCGGGACAGCCGTCGTGCTGGAACCGCATATTTTGTCTCGTCGCCAATGGGACGTCTTCCATTAATGGAAACAAGTGATTTTTCAAGAACTCTCCATACACTTCTCCATTTAAATTGGCGGGCAGAAAATGAGGTCCAATTAAATATCCATCAAAGATGCCCTTCCACATATTGACTGAAAACCGGCTCTGAGACCCCGTCGGTTTTATTTTTCGGGGGTTTAAAGCTTCTTTATCAGCCCATTAATGAGCATTATGGTAGTTAGTGATCCCGCCAAACTTCGATTCATCGGTCCACAGAATTTTCTTAAAATAGTCTGGATCTTCTGTATCTGCATGTAACATGTACCTGCAGAAATCTAATCGTCTTGCGGGATCGCTCTCTTCAATCGCATGCACAGGCGTGTAGTGATAAGGGTATAATCTTGCAGTATGCACTGTAACCCATAATTTGTATTGTTATATACCCAACTGAGCAGCCACAATGCGCGTAGACATAGTAGGGTCTTCCTGAAACACACGAAGGATTTCCTCTTCATCTTCAGGAGCATAGACTCGGGGTCGACCAGCATCACACAGAGTCAAACCCAGTAACATGAGGTGTTCGGCGATTCAAGAAACGTTGCCGAAATTCGCGGCGGGCAGCTGCAGAATCGCCATTACAAAGTCCATAACAGAACATTATGTCTGCGTATTCTTCATTTGTAAAAGTTTGCCAGTGCTCTCTATGGCGACGTCCTGGCGGATCTTCTGCGTCTGCCATGATGATAAAGAAACCGCTCGAAATGAACTGGGAAACTCGAAAATAATAATCGTGCGTAAAACGTGTGCGCGTACGCAGTAGTTGATACCAACTAAACATAATGGCTCGTTTACACAGTGCGAGCTAGCGTACGAGTCAGCCTGCCGAGTAGCTGCAGTGCAGTAATTCGCATAAATACGGACGTACCTACGAGTAACTCGTACGTGCGAGTTGGACAGTAGCTCGCATCCGAGTTACTTCAACAATTTTTGTTTTCACTCGCCTACTGGGCCGACAGCAACGCGCATATGGCGACAGCTCGGACGTCATTCGCATCGTTCGGACATGTTCGTCAGTAGCTCGCCAGTGTCAGCCCGCAATTACGAAGCAGAAGCTGTATTTTATGTGTGCTGCGCCAAAAGCGTTTACCCAATTCAAAATGGGCTCAGAAAGGAGGTCTTCTGAGAATAATATTACATTCATGAATCTCTACAGAGAACCAGAAAACCTATGGAATTGTTTTGATAAAAATTATAAAAATAGAGATATGAGAAAAGCATCTTTGCAATACATTGCAAACGAAATGAGTCTAGTTAACACCAATGAGGTAACTCAGAAAATAAAAAATTTATGATCTACCTATAACCAAGAACGCGCGAAAATCGAAAAAAGTAAAAAGAGTGGATCTGGGTCGGAAGATGTTTACAAGTAATCCTTAAAATGGTTCGATATAATGGATTATATAATGAAAACAATTAATTTGAAAGAAAAGGAAACAACAAGCAATCTGGTGAGTACCTGATATTTTATTCCACTGAGATAGTTCATTACATTTATTTATTATTAATCATATAATTTTGCCAGGTGACAGCACCCTCATCACAAAAAAAATTGTATTTTTCTCTCAATTTTTCAGCTGCGATCTTTGATCTGTTATTGATCCGCGAACGGGCGATATTTGGTAACGCATTTATTTCTGATCTCCACGTTCCTAGGTTCGTAGTGAAATTTACAATATCTTCATAATCTATGCTACCAGGTGGTGTGTAGGTGTGAAGTGAAGATTTGCGCAACCAGTTGTGCAGTTCACATGTAGTTCGAATCATTTTTATTGCGGTTTCCTCTTGCAACTGGATAGGTTTTGCCAAAATACGGAATCGAGATACTAAAATACCAAATGCATTTTCTACTATGCGTCTTGCCCTAGTGAATCTGCAATTGTAAATTTTTTCGGCAATCGTGGGCTCATTGGGATATCGTTTCAATAAGGAGGTCTTAAGAGGGAAAGCATCATCTCCCACTAGGAATCCACCTTCTGGCAGTAATGACCCATTTTCCAACACTGGATACAATGAGGAAGCCTGGAAGACACCACCGTCGGAATTTCGCCCATATGAGCCTATGTCCACATATTTAAAACAGTATAGTCATGATCCACGACTGCTAAGAGCACCAAGCTGTTTGTTCCTTTATAATTATAGTATTCACTACCACAATTATTGGGAGGAGCTTGAATTGCCACATGTTTGCCGTCGATGGCTCCACAACATCCTGGAAAATTCCACCTGTGGTGAAATCCTACTTGTATGTCTTCCCATTCCCTTTTGTCTCGTACCTGAAAAAATATTAATTTAGTATTTTCATTTCAGCCTGACGATACACCATCGGGATCCCAAATTTTGGATGATGATGTGAGTCGGGACATTGATGATAAAACTGATAATAAATCAATCGACTCCAGCGACAGCTCGTTGATCAAAAATAAAAATCCAGCTCAAGTTAAAAATAAAATAAAGTACCCAAGAAACGAGTGGAATTGCAGCAGCTATTAATGAGCTTAAACAACTAAATAGTACTATACAAACTTCCAGTTGTTCTCAGCAATGTCATGAGTACGATGTTATTGGAAAACATGTCGCTATTCAACTGAGACAGCTGCCATTACTCGATTTTATAGACGCCAAAGATGAAATCCAACAAGTACTTTCCCGATACCGAAAAAAGCTATATATGCCCGAAACACATCTGCGTTTTCCTCATATAATACATCGTCGCAAACGTCCTACATATCGATGACATCACCAGGATCCAGTGTACCAGTGATTCATTCCAGGACCTGTCCCAATATCTGATCGGCCCGCAGAAACAGTTTCTCGGCAGCCAGTTCAAACAGTTGTTGGACAACCATCAAATGCATCATGATATGAACAATATTCAATAACTTTTATCCTCTGTGTTAGTTTTGTGTTAATTTTGTATGACTTGGTTTGTCTTTAATAAATGAATGAATGTATGTATGATCCACACATGTGCCATTGAATAAGTTAACTGAACCTTTGAAGAATCAACTCATGAAACATTTACCACATTTCTACTTACCTGCAAATATTCGTCCAAAGCTTCATACATAACGTCACAAACTTCTGGAATAAATTTTGATATGGAAGATTTTGAAATCCTGAAAAATATTGCTAACAGCCTGTATGATATTCCTGAGCTTAGAAAACACATGACTACTTCTAACTTTACCCTTGCTGGTATGGCATCTCTCATAAAAGTCTCTTGACGCTCTATTTTCATTTTTATTAAATTTAAAATTTTGTCAACTTGTTCGGGTGTCACTCTCAGCACTGCTTTATATTCTCGGGGGTCTTCATGACAAAGCTCCTTGAAAATCGCACATTTTGCCCCTATAGATCGTCTTGCCATCCAATCTCTAATCCAAACCTTTTTCTTCTTTTTTGTAGGATTTTTCCAATTCTTCACATAATATTATTGTCATAGACCTTATCACCGTTTTTTTAATCACAGCAAGTTGACTCGACATCGCGATAACTCGGAAGATACTGGGCAGCTACTATCATCGTGGAAACAACTAAGGCGAGTCGAGCTACTGGCATACGAGTAGACCATCCGAGTAGCTGTCTACTGTCTAGTCAGCAGCTCGCATTGTGTAAACGAGCCATAATTCTCACTCGGCGTGCGGCGATGGCGTAACTACAATGATGAATAATAACAGCTCTCTCTATCACTCCTCCACTAAGTCAGCTCTTCTCGCTCGCTTCCTCGTCGAGCCGATGCCATAAAACAATCATGGCATGCGAGTCCTTTGAGGACAGTAACGACTTGTTCAAATAGGTAATACAAATTCGTTAAAAATCCAGCCTCTGTGGGTGTCACTGTTGTTTCTCTGCATGTAGATAATTGAACGCTTAATACCTCAAATGAAATCTTGTTAGATATAGAGATATTATTTACATAATTTGCACATTTCCTTACTAGGAGATCTTTGACAGAAAATTGCATTTTTCATCGAACAAGTTAGTAAAAGAAAAAGAAAATGATACATTTAAAAAGCGTAATTTTAAAACGTTTGTAGCTTTTCAACATTTTATTACTTATTATGAACTATTGGAATGTCTGCTATGCGACGATAACAAAAAACTCAAAATCAAGCATGCAGTTTTTTTGTATTTCAATTTTAACCGTCTGAAATCGAAATAAAAAATGAAAAACTTAAAATTCAAATAACTCAAAAGTGGTTAACTTTTGGATAAGACATGATAGGACAAAATCGGTTGCTTTTGACCTAATCTATCACCCCGTAACAGGAATACGTGACATTACAAATCACCCTGTATAGTACTGATGTTATTGACACTGTTTACATAAAAAAATTAGTTGTTTTAAAACGAGAACGCAACAGCTGTTTTAAATAAGTCAGTGTTGTCATCAATTGTTATAGAACTTGAAAGTGATCACCGTGGAGGCGGAAACGTCGTACAATAAACAAAAATTCTTTAAAACATATATGACTTGATTCGATCAGACCATGGAGTCCCATCACCGCACTGTATCCAGACAATGAATATTTTGAGAGCCTCCATTTATAGGAAATTTGAACGTACTTTTTGCTCAGAAATTTTGTCACTGTTTTCTAACCACTCTGTATACGTGAAAACATGCAGAGTGGTTCAGTTAAAAATTCAGTTACATCTGAATCTGAGTCATAGTCTTTCCAGATTTACGAAAAGTGATCGATGTTAAAAGTTATGCAGAAGTTCAGATACCTGCACGTACCTTTGATAGTGCTTAGCCATTTGAATGTTGTGTTATAAAACCTTTGATTACATAGATTTTCATTTGTTTGAATTCTCATCCATCGGTTAAAAGAGTCGAGTAGTTAACTAAGAAACAACGCTGATGGTTACGAAAAACAAACAACATTAGAAAAGTATATAGAGCAGGCCAAAACTACTAGCCTCGTATTTTATGTTCCAGGAACTTTCGACCGCATTGAATCTGGTCCAAATAGTTTCCAGAGGTAACGTGCGGAGTTTAACACGTCCAGTTTGTCTGTCCTCGCCGTTTTTAATGGTGGCTTGTCTGGCGATACTCAATTTGTTTTTAGGACCTTTTACACAGATTGCACCGGTAAGTTGTTACGCGGATTCACAAATACGCTCATGAATCGTTGAACGACTTCTCTCAGAACACATTTATCGTTGTCGCCAAAGCAGTAAAATTGTCATGCAAGAATCGCCTAGTACGGTTATTATTGTCTAGCAAAGCTCAGTTTAATGTTTCTGAGAGCTATAGCATCCCGCTTCACTCGATTGCAATAGAAGGATTGAATAGAATCTACAAACCTGATATTATCAGGTATCGATATTCCATCCAAATCACAGATGAATATAGAGATGTTTGAAAATATTTCCTTATCTTGGGTCAACTGTGATATACAGGATACTATTTTAGTACGTGATTTTTTTATTAATTTTAAGATCAAAACTTCATATAAACGTAGGTCTAGCAATGCTTCATCTTGAAGATACAAGGTAACAAACTTTAAAAAAAAATCGGTTTTTCCTGAATATCTTGATAAACTTTCCGTCGAGTTTGTAAGAAATTTAGCAATGGAATAAAGCGCAGTAAGGGGCTAGCTTAGCCCCAATTAGATTGATATTACCATCAGTGGCATCCCGGAAAACACCCTAACCAATATCTTTGACAAAAAATTTGTGCGCCACTGATTTCTTTGGATATTCATATTTTCTTCGAATTAAGCTGCTAAAATACAACTTTTAGAGTGTTTTTCATATCTCGCTTCGTTTGCGAGATATAAAACAAAAAGCAGTTTATTGCATGTCCCTGGGACAATAACATAATAAAACACTAAGGGCCGATTTCATCAACATTAATATTATGGACCAATGGGAAAATACCTTATCGAAATGCAATTTGACGGAAGCTGTCAAAGGTCTCAGAATATCAGTGATTTCTATTAAAATGTTGAATAAAATCGTGAAAATTCGACTGTATTATAAACAAGATCTCTTTTTGATTCCAACATGATGCTTTTGTACAGAGAAAACAGGACAACTTTCATGTATTTTGATATATATTATAGGTGTACATTTGACCATCCGTTATCCCCTCAGCGAATGGGAATGGGAGAAATAATAGGTCGATTCTCTAGCTGTCAAATTTGGCAGCAGGTTTGGTTGTTTGTTAATTCATGGCAGTCTCGAAATTTGTTAAGTTCAATATACTATGTGTATATGATCATTATAGATAGCTACACATACCTGTTGAATTGTACGGATTTGCAAGAAACTAGAATATAAAATGTATTCCAACCAATTCCTCATCTCTCTTTACATCATAATAGTAATCATTTGTTATAAATGCATGAATTTCTTCATAGCAATCAAAACAGTATGGTCTTCCCCATCCTAAAACACCGATATGTGTAAAAAATATTAATCCCTACATCTCCGAGGTGCATAATGCAATTATTGTAGACATAGACCTAAAATTATTAGTAATTACTGAAAAATAAGAGCTAAAAAGAATTATAAATATAGGGATGGCGACGATAGACGATACATTGATGTATCGAAAACATCGATACGATGGACGTAGAACATCGATCTTTACGCATCGATGGTTTCATGACGATATATATGGATATCGAGAGGAATCATAAACATCCGTAGCCGTATACCCCGAGTCTTTCCTTAACTGTGCTACCATCTCTAAGCGAGGACTGGTAGCTTCGAAATTGAAAGGCCAGAAAGCTATTTAGGTGTTCAGTAGTATTTGAATATTATCATTACAGATGAGCACTGAGCCACTGAGTGGCCACTGAGCACTGTAGTCTTTTCTTCATTCTGTACTTCTCCAAGGGATAGAATAAAATAGACTGAAAACAACGCGTTTAATGATTTTCAGTTCTCAGAGAAAGATTTTCCCCTGCCGGCCCTTGACATCGTTTCGAAGTATGAAATTCTGGAAACGCTATAAAAATAAAAATGAATACACAAAGCCTACTTACCTATTTCAGACAAAAACAAAAACAACTGCCACATAACGATTGTCAAAGTAGTGATGCGCGTGCCTGCTGCACGGTATACGGTATCGATATTCGATAAAATATTTTTCTTTCTATCATGAATGCGTGGAAAAAACAAAATAAGGAGATATCTAAAATAAGGAGTTATTGAAGGCCTAAAACAGCCAGGCGCTAATAATTCCTGGCCGTATTAGAATATCTAAGCAGGCACAGTAAAACAAAAATAACTTGGAATTAATAAAGTTTATTTCGACAGTTGGCAGAGTTTGCTCCACTGGGACGAAGTGTTGACGGATTCCACAGAATTATGTGTCACTTGTCGGTATGGTTAGTTTTAAAATATCAGGAGATAATCAGCTGTTATTCAAATCAGTGTATATGTTTTGTGATTCAAATAACGTCTAATATAAATATAAACCAGAATATATACTCTGTGAAAAAAGAAAAATATTGCAAATTTCTAGTTTTTCTGCAGGTTTTAGGTTTGCTGGTAGCTCTACGACATATATTTGGGTATTTCTTTATCGCTGTGAATATAGTGTGGATGTTTGTTAAGTTCCTGAACAACGAAAAATATTCAACTTTATGGATGTATGGATATTAAAAAGCCAGAATGGTTTTGTGGGAATATCAATCTAAGGTGCCATAATGGTTCTGATGAATGGCAAGTAAATGAATGTATGTTTGGAAACGAGCAATATCTATGAACTTTTTGGTAGAGCCAATCATCAAGTAGGTGCTTAATGGCTATCTGCAAGAGGTTTATAGGAAAAAACACCCAGTAGATGATCTTCAATCAGTAAAATAGCAAATCAATTGAAGAAAATAGTATTAACATAAATAAAAAATCATCAATGGTAATTAAATCATGAATTTTATTCAAAAATCAAGCATTTGTTTAAATTTTGACTGAATTATATGTAATTTCTTAATATTCAATAAGCTGATGATGTTTCAATGACAAGATGACATCTCATACTTTGACAGTATTTTATTTTCAACATTTCATAGCTTGCTAAAATTTGTTGATTGGAACTTGAAGCTCATTCGTTGTATTTGACGGGCTGTTACCCTATAGGTGGAGAATAACGGACTGTTGCTGGTGAAATTGGCCTTAAAACCACTAAATTAAGCTATTAACATTAGACGAAAGTCATCTGTGAATTTTTGTCGCACATATTAACAACTAGTTTCAATATCAGAAAATAACATAAAATAATAGTAAAATGTAATAATTTATAACAGCAATGTTTTAAAAGTAACAAAAAATAAGAGTGTCATGAAGGGAAAAACAATTGCTAATCAAATAAATCTGACTTTGAGATAGCTTACTCAAAGCAGCGCGTAATTAATGATCGTAATTTCGTAATTATTTGAAGTCAGCTATAAAATTACTGATATTGGAAAATGGTTTAATTTACAAATACGGAAATAGCCGATAGAATATATTTATTTCTCTCTGCTCACGGGGAAAATACGTACGATGCATTTTTAATCTCTTGTAAACTTCTTTAGTAGCATACCCCTGACAAAAAATCATATTATTACTTTCAGGAGACGATTCCAGTGTACTTTAATCAGATCCCAGGCGGGACATCGTTAAAGTCTATCAGCTACCTCACCGAGGCGACGAGAGGCCGATTCCGGAAATACGACTACGGCACCGGACGAAACCGTTTCCTCTACGGCAACGACACGCCACCGGACTACGATATCAAGAGGATCAAGGTGCCCGTTTACGTCATGTTTGCCAGGCACGATTGGTCGATATCCAGGGAGGTGAGTTCACTGCATTTTTCTGTCCTAGAATAGTGTGTAATACAAGGTTGCTGGTAATTCGCGGTTTTCCTCCCAGGGCGCGATATGTAACAATATATATACTAAGTGACATATAAATCCGAACACCCAGTTTAAATGGTTTTATTTTAATAAAAGTTGGTGAATGTATTTATCTTACTGTAAGTAACAAGTGAAACATTTTTCAGCCTTATCAGATGGACATTCCGGTTTTTATACTGCTTTTTTTTAATTCACTAACGCTCTAAAAATGAATATTTCAGCCCCAGTAAAGAATCAACGTTGGCGGATTTTGGTTCTTGACATCCTTTACGATCGGTTACGATGCCTAGAGTACGGAGACCTGTACGATTTCGTCAACTTAGTGAGTTTGATAGGGGCCGTATAGTGGGACTTCGGGAAGCTGGACTTTCTTTTCGGGCAATTGCAGTTAGAGTGCAAAGGAGTGTCGACACTGTGGTTAGGTGTTGTCAGGCATGGCTTCGAGACGGCCGTACGCAAAGAGCAAGGGGCACTGGACGCCGCCGTAGAACAACAGACCGTGAAGATCGCCGCCTAAGATTATTGGCCTTAAGTGACCTTTTCTCCACTACCAGGTCCATTGCAAATGAATGGTTTGTAGAACACGGAAGACCTATTGGCATGCGAAGTGTTTACCGACGATTGAGAAGTTTTGGCTTGTTTTCATACCGGCCACACTGGGTCTTCCCTTTAACTCGAGAACACCGACTTAATCGCCTTGAGTGGTGCAGACAACGGTCACTCTGGGATCAGAAATGGAACAGTATTGTCTTTGGTGACGAGTCTCGATTTTGTTTAGGCATGCACGATCGTCGTGCCAGGGTTAGAAGGCGACGTGGTGAAAGGAGGAATCCACAGTTTTTTGTTGAAAGACATGTTCATCACACTGTTGGAGTTATGGTTTGGGGTGCTTTAGCTTATGGTTCCAGGTCACCTTTAATCTTCATCAGAGGTAACATGAACGCGCAGCGTTATATCCACGAAGTTCTAGAACCCCATCTTTTACCCTATCTTGACACCCTGGCAGATCCAACTTTCCAACAAGATAATGCCCGACCACATGTTGCAAGAGTCACAATTGACTTCTTTCAACATAATAATGTCACATTGTTACCATGGCCACCAAGATCTCCCGACTTATCCCCAATTGAGCACGTGTGGGATATGATGGGTAGGAGATTGCTCAATTTGCAACGTCCTCCTCAGGCTCTAGTAGCACTTCGAGATGAGTTGGTGGTTGCCTGGAATGAGATACCACAGGAGGACATTGACCACCTGATCAGAAGCATGCCTAGGCGCGTTGGAGAATGCGTAGCACATCAGGGTGCATCCACACATTATTAAAGGTCAAAGGGCTTTAAAGCAGTGCAACCATTTTGAAATTTTTATCAATTACTTATTATGGTTCATTAAGAACTCATACAAAATTTTATTAAAATAAAACCATTTAAACTTTGTGTTCGGATTTATATGTCACTCAGTATATGTATAGTGTATAGTCTATTAGGTACCCGAACAACCTTAAAACTTGGCAGCTACGAGTTCTTTTTTTAATTTCCGTTCCAAAGTTTCGCAAGATTCCATCGGGATTTGTACAGGACTGATGAACCAGACCCGAAAAACTTTTTCCCGGTCTTTCGTCGCTTTCGGGATGAAGTATAACGGAGTATAATTCATACAGGGTGGCCAACATACAGCTGACTGCTTTAAATTGCGCGTCATATTTGATACACGCATTTCAGTAGGTGGTGCCGTAGCAGTTGTTTAAAGCACATGTGTCCAATCCATCATAGAGCGCTACACGATCCCGTATTGTTAAAACGTTTTACTTAAATAATGAGTCGATTGTTGCAACGATTTGGAAGCTACGACAAGATTTCGGTCAAAATAATGTGCCCAGTGTCAGCACCATTCGTCAGTTGGTGCGGACATTTGAAGAAACAGTTAAAGACTTGCCAAGGCCGTGTTCGAATTCTGCGTAAATATCGAGAGAGTTCGTGAAAGTGTAGTGGAGCGCCCTGAGACGTCTACCAAACATCGTTCTCAAGAACTGGTTATTCGTCGCACGTCATTATGCACTATTTAAAAAAAATACTTGCATTTGCGGCTATACAAAATTCAGTTAACCCAAGAACTGCAGCCTAGTGACCGTGCAAGTCGTCGACAATACATTCATGCAATATTGCAGCTGAACAGGTAAAATAACGATTTTTAACGACAACCGATAATGAGCGATCAAGCTCACTTCGATATTTTAATAAGCAGAATTGTCATATCTGGGCTTTAGAGAACCCTCTTGTCATCCATCAACGACCACTACATCCTCGTCCAGTCTCAGTTTGCGGTGTTTGGTATGGAGGTGTTATTGGACCTTACTTCTTTGAAGACGCTGCAGGTAATTCTCTTGCTGTCACTGGCGAGCGCTACCGTGATATGGTGCAAAACTTTCTGGCCTCTCAAATTCAACAACTTAACCTGCAGAACATGTGGTTCCAGCAGGACTGAGCTAGGGAAACAACGAATCTTTTGATAATAGTATTTACGCGACGTTCAATTTCTCTACTTGGTGATGCCAACTGGTCACCAAGTTCAGCGGATTTAACGGCTCCTGATATTTTTTATGGGGATTTTTGAAAAATAGGGTTTATGCCAACAAGCTAAATGCTGTAGAGCAGCTGAAGAACAATATTATGGAAGCGATTGAAAATGTTTCTCCCGAAACCTACCAAAAACTGATGGAAAATGTAATATAGAGGGCTCAGGTCTGCGAGGCTTAAGATGAACATTTGTCTGATATTATTTTTCATGCATAATTTTTGTTTCAATAAAACATTAAGATGAATAAATGGACATATTTTATTTCATTTCACAAATATTCAAGATATAAGCCAGTCAGTTATATATCGGCCACTCTGTATCATTGAATAACGAATTCCATCAGAAAATAGAAAACTTTGTACCGTAATTCGGCATCCAAAAAATTTTCCAATACGAAATGAGGTATCCTTGCGCCATAATTTTATGCTCATATACGAGCCCCTTCCCACTTCAGTTGGCCCACTTCAAGATTTGTACCAACATATGCCTTTATAAACTAAACATGACGAAACTACTTACTTCTAAAACAATTTATTTTCTCAAAAACATTTTAGATACACTCTAGTCGTAAAATATACATATTTGAAATCACTTAGACCTATAACTAATAGAACATCTGAACAAATAAACAATGTGCGATGTGGTCTTTCTCAAAACGCTATAGATTTATTTCAGTGCTACTTCACTAAGCGGAAACAAACAGTTGTTTTAAATGGAGTTCAGGCTTTATCAAGGGTCCATACTTGGACCACTCCTATTTCTAATTTATACATCTAATTTCATGCAATTCCTTAGACTATGTAATGTGCATTTTTACGCTGATGATACCCAAATCTATTGCAGCATCCCCCCACAATTGATGGATTGTTTCTCGTTGATCATTAATAATGAGCTAAACTCCTTTGTAGAATGTGCCACACGCCACTGTCTTTTAATAAATCCATGAAAGTCTCACGTAATTGTTTTTGGACCTAGACAGAATAAAAATGTTATAGAGAATCTTATTAAAATTGAGTTAAATGGTGTAACTCTCAAAATAATGGACAATGTAAAAAATTTAGGTGTTGTGAATGATAGTAATCTTCGATTTGAGTATCACATCAACAAAATTATGCAGAGAGCATATTTTTCGTTGAAATTTATTTACGGTAGCCGGAAATTTCTCTCGTTAAAACTTAAGATCATGCTGTGTGATACTTTAGTATTATCTTTATTCAACTACGCTGATGTGCTTTACGGCCCACACTTAACTAACCTGTATCGACGTAAAGTTCAACTGGTTCAAAACTCATGCTTGCGCCTTGCATTTGGTATACAGAGGAGACATAGAATATCTCACAAATTGAAAGATGCAGGTTGGAAAATCGTAGGCTCCTCCACTCTGCTGTTTTTTATCATAAATTAATTTTAGTCAGAACACCCCAATATCTTTATCAAAAAATAACCTACCGGACTGACGTTCATAACATTAACGTAAGAAGTAAGGGTCTTATTTCGCCACCCAAGTTTAGAACGTCAATCTTCAAACGGAGCTTCACATACCAAATATATAAAGTCTACAACTCAGTCCGGAAGGAACTAAAATTTTCTAGAATAGATAACTTCAAAGTCATGTTTAAAAAGGAACTGCTGCAAAAACAGTAGCACCGCATGAATGAATGAATGAATGATTGTTTTTTTTTTGTTGTTAGCGTGTAGGTATGTCCCTCTTTTATAGTGACATGTATGTATTATCGGTTTATCGGATGTCATATGTCGTAGAGGATACTGGGCTAAGTGGAAGAGCAGGTTGTTGGTACTGTGTACTAATCAAACTGAACTTCGCCTTTTATTGACACTGGATGTACTTATGTTCACTTACCATTTTGTCAATGTCTTATGTCAATAATAAAGACGGTGATTATTATTATTATTATTAATAAATGCGCGAAGTTAACAATCCAACAATTGAAAGATTACCATTGGGTAACATCACCTTTATTTTTTATTACGGCTGAAATACTTTGGGGCATAGTGTTAACCAAGTTTTGGAAAAAAATTGGTGTAAATCAATTCCATATTTCTTGAAGCTTTTGCCTCAGTTCGGTGATTGTACGAGCAGGATGTTGTCGTAGAACCTTTTTCATCTCGTACCACAAAGTTTCAATAGGTGACAGATCTGGACTGCTAGAAACCCATGTCAAAAGTGGTACATTATTTTCTTCCATCCATTATAGCCTTTTTTGAGGTCTGGCACGCTGCACCATCTTGCTGAAACACAAAATCTTGGCCGGATGTCAAACATTCTTCCATCACTGGTAACAGCGATTCTTCTAAAATTGCCAAATATTTGTTTGTATCCACATTTCCATCAATAAAATGAA